CATCCATCCATCCATCCATCCATCCATCCATCCATCCATTCATCCATCTCTCCATCATCTTTACCCACGTCTTCATTTTCAGGTCACTGGGGTCACTGGTGCCCATGTCCAGCCATCACTGCACGAAAGGCAGGGGACACCCATGACAGGTGTCCAGTCCAGCACAAGGACACAGACAAATGAGATAAACAACTATTCTCTCTCTCACTCACCTGGGGACAATTTAAAGTTACCAATCAGCCTAACATGCATGTTTTTGGTTTGTGGGAGGAAACTGGAGTACCTGGAGAAAACCCACATATGTGCAGAGAGAACATGCAAACTCCACCAAGAAAGACCCCCAGGCCAAGATTTAAACTGGGACGACCTGCTCGCTGAGAGGCAACAGCTCTACGTGCACCACCGTGCTGCCCCTGTACTAGCTTTGTGCAATCAGGTAAACAGGCTGAAACTGAGGTGAGCTGCTGTGTGAATAAGGGAAGATCCAAGCAAGTAGAATCTCCTGTAACTAATACATGCACTTTGTGAAAAGAAGGCAAATACCAGATTTAAAAACTAACACTGACCAGATAAACTTCTGCATTCTTTTATTATTTATCTCCCCTTCTATAAAGTTATGAAGCCCATTTTTAAAGTGTGACAAAAAATGTCAGCACTGACCAAAACCTTCAAAATAAATAATCAATAAATCTAAACTTTCTGATTCATTTCACAGCAGAAATGAGAATTTTCCAGTAACCAAACTTCATCCCTAAAGTACCATGTATTTTCCTTAGTGATCCTTCTTGATATTCAATATTCCTGCCCTGCGTTTTGCATCTTAGAGTCACATTGTGGCTTTTTTTTTGGTTGAGGCTTGTGAAGCTCCAGCCAAAAGGATGTGGTCCATTACAGTGCACCACCATTTTATTAATTATCAAGCAGCCAAAGCAAACTGCACGCACTTTACCCTGCTGTATAATGCCTGAAAAACCCAAACCATTGGTCATCTTGTTGTTTTGTCCAAGTTCAATATTAAATATATATTTAAACACATGTCTACCTGTCTACAAGCCTTAATTTATTACATGAAATCCTCTATAAAACAGGAAAAATATGATTTTTTTTTAATTGTATCAAAGCATATTTTCTCTCCTCGTATTTATGTGACTGAAAAACAGAGGGAAACTCGTCACAACAGAAAATGTTGGTGAACTAGTTTATAATCTGCAAATTGTTCTGGCGGGCTTCTG